ATGGGGCGCGGAAAATATGCAACACTACAGCAGAACTGTGAGTGCCGGTAGATATAGTAGCAATAAAATGTTGTAGCTTCACTGCATTATGTGTATTTGTGCTTTAGGTCAGGCGGAAAAATTGAAAATAGTTGCCTGAAACAAGCCTGATGGCAATAGATCTTGATAAAGTGCAGTGAGAAAGCTTTTACAGTTCAAAACTTCGAAACCTATAAAAAAAAATAGACTAACATAAAGAGCTGCCATACAAACTGATCGATTAAAATCAAGTCTTTGTATGAAAAAGTACTGTATTTGACGAGATATCTCCACGATATTTTACGTGGATTATTATCCGAGGCATCTCTGCAATCTCCGCAGAAATGGTTCAGATCGGATAACTATAGCATATAGCTGCCATACAAACTGATCGATCAAAATCAAGTCTTTGTTAGGAAAACTTTTTTATTAGACGAGATATCTTCACGAAATTTGGTGAAGGTTAAAACCAAAGGCATCGCTATAACATCAGCCGAAATGGTTCAGATCGGACCAATATAACATATAGCTGCCATACAAAATTCACGATGTGAGTGAAGTCTTTTTATGGAAAACTTTTCCATTTGACGAGATGTCTTCACGAAATTTGGAATTAATTATTGCCTAATGATATAATGCGATCTTCCGAGAAATTGTTCGGATCGGTCTATTATAGCATATATGTACATAGAATGTACATGTACATGTACTGAAGTTCATGTATAGAAAAACTTTCATTTCACAAAGTATCTTCACGAAATTCGACACAGGTTAATATCCAAGGCAAAGCTATAAGCTGTGAAGAAATTTTTCAGATCGGACTATTATAGCATATAGCTGCCATACGTACCGACCAATAAAAATTAAGTTCTTATATGACAAACTTTGCCATTTTACGAGAGATCGACACGAAATTTGGCAAAGATTACAATCCGAGCCATCGCTATAATATCCGTAGAAATGGCGCAGATGCGATCAATATAACATATAGCTGTCATACAAGCTGACGTTTTTCTGTTTTTTCTGTTTTTATTTTTATCTACGATACATTTTGTGTAGTATTCCCCCAGCAAGGAACATAAAACAAAACAAAAACATTTTGCAATGGGAAAAAGTCCAGCCGTACCCCTTCTAATTGATGAGCCCTTAGCTTAGCTTAGCAGCGCAACAGCTCGTTTCATTTGGTCCTTTGGTCGTCAACACTTCAATGTCAACGCTTGAAATTATCACCATCTGTGCTAGCCATTAATACTTCATTGTCCTCGCTTGTCATCCAATACAATCTCATCAAGCATCAGAGGCAACAGCTCTCTTCACGCACAACGAACTGGCGCAAAAGGGCGAGAAGAGCGACATATGGCGGTTGCATATTTTGTTGTTCTGCTTTTCACTACGAATCGCAGTGCTCGCAAAATTTATCGCACAGAATATGTAAATTATCAACGCGAATGGAGGAGTTTACAGAAATACTTCTTCGACAATATAGCCTACAAAGCATGTTTAATATTCACCAGGCGGTTGAGAAGTGAGCTGAATTTTTTATACATACATATATATATATATATATTGTTATTAAGTTTTGGAAATATTTTAGTAAAAAGTACTTTGCGTTTAGTTATGCATAAATATGATTGTATATGTGTGCATACATGCAGATGTGTGCATTCAGTGAAAAATCGCTGATATCATGAGCACGTAATCAAAGGCTCAAACTTTCAAATCCCATGCCATATCAAGTGTCAAAAAGTCTGAGCATTGACAGTTACCTCAGCGTCGCTCAAATTTGTTTATTTCAGTGGCACAACTGCGCGGCCTGTCATACAAATCACTATCTGTTTAGAAACATACAGCTGTATAACACACTACCAGCACTGTTAAACAGCGGACGACAACACTTTTTAGCAGCAACACGATACATCGCCACGAATGCCTTCATATTAGAATTGAAGTATAATGAACTGTGAATGTGTCAGATGTTGCCGCATAATCATGCAACCGCAGCCGATATGAAGCACATTTCAGAATTCTGTTGCACAAACGAAAGCGCTACATTATTGGCAATGCATACTAAAAACAATAACAATAATCTGCATGTGGCTAGGAGTCGCTGAGTCCTTCGTTTACTAAGAGTTTTGGTTGCAGCAGCTGAAATGACGGTTTCTATTTGGCGCGCTCATGTTGCTGCTGCTGTCAAAAGTAAACACACATTATGCATTAAGCGCGTGAGTTTGTCACCACCATGGGAAATTACAATGGCGGACTGCAATTTTGTATCGCTGGTTTTGAATTTGATTTTTTCAAATTTGATTTGCATTGCTTTTAGCGTTGGGCTTTCGTTTATCATTATGTTTTTCATTTATAAAATATTGTATTTTATTTTAATGGCCAAACAGATATTGATACAAATAATGTTTAAGCTGCAAAGAAGTATGTTAGCTTCTTTGCTTTCCACAAAAAACAAGTAGTTCATACAAGAATTTATTTTTGATTGATAACTTTTTTGTATGGCAGCTATGTGCGATATTGGTCCAATCTAAAGAATTTCTTGAGATATCGTAATATTGTTTCGGAAAATAATTCAAGCCAAAATTCGTGAAGATATCTCGTCAAAGAATATGAATTTCAACGTTCAGTTTGTATGGCAGCTATATGCTATAGTGGTCGGATTTAGAGAATTTCTTCGGACATGGAGGCGTTGATATCGAAAATAACTCGTGCCAAATTTCGTGCAGATATCTTCTCCAATAAAAAAGTTTTCCATACAAGATATTTATTTCATCGTTCAATTTGTATGGCAGCTATATGCTATAGTGGTCTGATCTAAATAATTTATTCAGATGTGGTAGCATAGACCTAGAAAATAACACATGCCAAATTTTGTGCAAAAACCTCGTCATATGAAGAAGTTTTCTGTATAAAAAGTTGATGCTTCAGTTTGTATGACAGGTATATGCTATAGTAGCAAGGCTATCGGCGGATCCAAAAAAAAAAATAAAACAATTTGTATATTGTATAAATATTTGAGCTACTCAAGCATACTAGTTTCTACAGCCACAGCCAGCAGCTCATTATTGTAATAGGTATATGGTGCTCTAGGGCGTATACGTAACCTTTTTGTGAGAAAAAGTTGCTGAGCCTTAGCTGGTGTAATCTTTGGAGCGATAATAGTTAAACTAATCCATATTAATAGATTTGTAATTGACATAAGTATTACGTGGTTAATTGCTACTTTATAAGAATTTTGATTTGCCTGGAGGTAGTTAGTTACTCATTTTATATTTTCATTAACTTGTGTTACTATGAGTAAAGTTGGCTATGTGTGCAAGATTCGATAAATTTTTGAAATTTTTTATGTATGCCCGACACATACTGCAATTGTACGATTTTAAAAGCGTGAACGTATTTTTTACCCAATGTAATTGTAAGCAATGACGGACAACGTTGCCAGATTAGTTTGAAAACAAATTAAGAAATGATGTCAAAAAGTGGCACTCAATGCTAATATAACGCTTTATATGCCAATATTATTACAAGTTTCATTTTCATTACTAGATTTTATTATTCTCATTCCAGCATACAAATTTAGAAATAATAAATATGCTAAGCACGTTGTAAAGCAAAGAGTATGCAGGCATGCAAGTAAGTACAACTGCACCGGCACTATGCGCATAGTTAATAAGTAATTAAACAATTCGATATATATATACACACACACACACACACACACATGTTTCTTTAATTTTTAATCATAGTAAATTCTAAATTCTAAATAATAGATTTTTGTGATGATTTTCACGCAAGCAGTCTGATGAACTAATGAATAGTCTGGTTTATTTATAACAATTCGCATAACGCTGGCAGTATTAATAGAATTAATGAATGTCGGTATGTCATTTGTTTCTGTTTTACGTACAACGTAAAGGCAGTGGACATTGTTGTGCATAAATTTAAAGGACATAATTACACATGTCCATCAAATGTATACAAATTCCATCAAATCAAACACAACATAATAATAAAGTTTCAATTTATTTGCAATATTACTTAATTTTCGGCAACCACCAATTAAAGTACATACATATACACTCACATGCATATTTCCATTTATTTTGAGTTTACCTTCCATTAGTGGTTTCAAGCGTAGCACAAAAACTTAAGTGTTTAATTTACGGTTAGTTGACACAACATTTAATGGATTTTAATTAAATCGTACAACTAACAACAGCGCTTCAAGCCTTCATTTCAGTACATTACAGTCTATAGGTGTTTTCTTTTTTGTTAAATTAATTTAATTACAACAATGTTGTTATAAAGGTGAAAATTTTTACAAAATTTAATAACAAAAATGAAGATTTTATTGATTTAGCTTTTCGAGTATATAATTGATATGCAATATAATATATAATTGAACTAATATCTCTTCAAAGTTTACTCCAATTAATGCTCACGAAATTTTTCTCACAAATATGTTACGTATACGCCCTCTCGTACCAAATAATGCAAAAATGAGCAGTTGGCAGTGGCTATCTAGTATATATAGTATTCTTGAGTAGCTCAAATATTTAAATAATATACAAATTATTTTTGTGCTTTTAGAACCGCCGATATTTGAGTACTATATAGCATATAGCATTTATATATAAAAAAAAATAATAATAATTATAGGAGCATGAAGGACATTGGAAAAGAAAAAGAGTTATTTTGTCGTAGAATTTTTGTTGGTAAAGTAGTATTTTTTTGTATTTGTTTTGAGGTTATGGGAAAGAGTTGCGTATACGTCATTTATGGATCTTTTCACTACCTACAATTTTACCATTTAATTTTTTTCTAAAGGACTCATGGTTTTGCCGGAATACGTATAAATACTAATTGAGTCACGAGATGCGTGTACGCCTTTATAGATATCGTAAGTTTTCATATCAAGACTTTTGACAATTGTATTGTAATAAAAATAAAATAATAAAAAACAAAAAATTTCTTACTTGATTCTGATTCAAAGCTAGCGTTAGCACGTCATCACTTACCTGAAAAAAATAGAAAATATAAAAGAAAATTAGTGCCTCATGTCTCATCTCAAAAATATATTTTCAAGTAATTTATTAATTATTCATATATATATATATAATTTTTTTTTTATAAAATGAGAACGTACGATGTTGCTTAGGTAACACCTCATACAAACACCTTCTAGATTACAAAAGACATTTTTTTTGGTACGAAATGATTTACTATCTTTCTTATGCTAAATGTTTTGAATCGCCGTTGAGATAAGCTGCTGAAAAAATTTACTTAAATCAAAATTTTTTTTTTAGTATTAATATCAAAAACTTTTAATAAAAAATATCTCAATATGCTAATTACAAAATATAAGTGAGAACCAAAGTAAAGTCGCTTCAAAAGAGCGACAAATCCGCAAAACATGAGACATCGGTGCATTCATAAAGAAATGACCACTCAAAAAATCACAGAAGAAAGCAATGAAACAACGCGCGTTAGGAGCGCAGGCACTTGAGGAAGTGTGCCAGTGACTAGCGGTAACGTGAGTAGCTGGCGAAAGTGACTTCATTGAATTTCATGTCAAGTTTCGCTGCACATATGTAGGCGCTTTGTGCGACATACGCTCTCAAAACTCAAGTCCTTTTTGTTCTTTAAGTTTCCACTTCTTATTTGCTCGGCGTCTTTTCAGTAACTAACTTTCATTATATTATTTATTTACTACGCTCTGACCAACCTACATACATGCATACACGCCTGTCGGACCGTGTGACCTTGTGGTGAAGTGCTAAAGTTACTACTTTCCACCATTGACATGTGTCGGAAAATTATGAAAGGTTTAAAATGTGTGTGCGAGTGTAAAAGCTGCACGAAGGCGCCTGAAAGCGAGTGTTCGTTGTTGAAAGAAAAACATATATATATTTACGGAACTATATAAGAAAAAGTAGCAAAAGTTTTGGCACACTAAAGAGCATCAGAAGTGGCAGGAATTAGAAATGGAAAACAAAAATAAAAGAAAAAAACAAAAACAAAAACCAGAGAGAAAGCAAAACAAAAAAGTGTGGCAAGGGTGGTATACACCAAAGCACGGTGCACTGTGTGCGGTTATGTGATTCCCAGCAGCTGCAACAAAATATAACATGAGGGCCGAGCAGCAACAAATACTGTTTATTGCCATTATAGTTGCTGACATTTTCATGGCTACATACATGCACACAGCTTTCTTCCTACAAAGACGAAGGTAGTGGCAACATAGGCATACACACATGATGTACATATGAATATGGCATCCCTTAGTGTTGATCCCCACACAACAGCCTTTCGTAATACACTTATTTCTTATTTCATTTTTAAACCCTTTCGTTGCATAACACTCTCACTAACACCTAGCGAGTGAGTGAGTATCTCCACTAAGCGCATTTATATGCAGGGGCTTAAGTTACTACATTGTCCAATAGTCGGTCGGTCGGTCGGTCGGTGGATACCTCGGCCACTCGGTCGGTTGACTACTGAGCCAATGCTCTAGTGGTGCACCAAAGTTATTCGTGCGTTCTTAATATTGTAGTAATCAACAGCTTATGCTAGGTTGAGCAATAATAAGTGACACTTTATTTTATTTGCCACTTTCTGAAGGACCTTGGCGGATCGTTGGCGGATTTGCGGAGATTGTGCCACTTGTAACCAAGCAACAAACTTTTAGGCAGACTTTCTACGTTACTACGACACCAATACCAAATGGCAGAGAGACAGTACAGTGTAAAAGGAGCATAAAATGAACAAACAAATACAAGTGAGGCACTGCAGAAGAGCTTTCCAAGGGATGAGTACATTTATACTGCTTGAAACCAATGAAGGCAGGCAACAAGTCGCTTGGTAATACAGACAGCGTTTGACAGACAAAAATAAGTATGTACAAGGCGTGAGGCAAAATATACGCTTGTTGAGCAGCTAAAACTATAAGCTAACAAAGATAAAAAAAATAAAATTAAAATAAATAAATATGCCTCGGTAAAGCCTGTAAAGTCGATTTAATGTACTATATAACTGGCCGCAGGAGCATAAATATCAGCATCCACAAAATCAACTATTGTACGCTGTTGCCACCTGCTCCTAACCAATCAACCTAACCTTTCTGCTTGCTACCGCTTTTATGCTTGTGCTCTCACTGAAAATCTCTAAAGACCAATATATTGGTAATCATTGTATGCTTATGTGACAGTTTAAGAAATAGGTTAGTGCCAGCAATTCTACTTCAGAATTTGGAGCGACCGCCTAGTTGACAAAACATCGCTCACGCCGTATGTACAGCATATGTCCCAGCGGCAGATTTGGCGTTTGGGCTTTGGTGCTGAAAATTTTTTGTAAATAAGAAAACATTTTTTTATTTGCAGTTTGTATTTATTTTCTACGTTGCAGGTTCATTTTCTTCACATCGAAACTTTTTCGCACTTTTGTAAGACTATATTGAAGCTTTTAAAAAAATTGCACACAGAAGTGTCGTCAAACGCTCGAATCGATGACAGCGCCAAACAGTGGTGGCGTGGTAGAAGAAAAGTATTTGTTGTAAAAGAGAAGTGTGTATGCCAGCTGCTATACAAAATGCGGCCAACCCTTATGCGACGCAATCACACCCACGTCACAGTGGGTGTGTGCGTATGCAAGAAAGTTTTTTATTGCGCAATATTTTCAGCTGTCAACTTGACAGTTGTGCTCATATTTTATCATCGAGCGAACTTGTCAAGGGATTTCCATTCATTTGTGGCATGTCATTTGGAAAGTAAATATTGGTAATTTTCATAATGATTTTTCCTAAGTACAGTTAGTTGATTTTGTAGAGGATTATTGCAAAAAAACGTGTAAACAAACACAAGTAAACGAAGTTATGGGGTGAGGCACACAAATGACATTTTCTTTGTTGTGAGCAAAACATAACGTGAACGTGGAGGTTGCAAACGTAACAGAGGCAGCTTAGTAATGTCTACGCAAATATTTAAGCTTACATACTTATTTATGTGTATTTGAATGGTTGTAAGACAGTTGAGTATAGAAGCAGCTGCGTTCTCAATACGCCAAAAATGCATATATCCTGCGACTATATCAAAAAATGTAGCCAAATCGTCTTTACAGGATACACAAAACCAAATTTTTACGAAGATAA